TTACTCTCTTCTAGCACAGCTTTCCAAGGTACAAAGAGAAGGATGTTCCCACCACTGTACTGAAGGGACTGCCAGGCAGCTGTGCTGGGCAGCTGTATGAAGTTACTTAAAATCCATTGCTGAAACAACTTCATATTAAAGAAAAAAAAAAGAAGGAAAAAAGGCAAAAAAAGCATGTGGCTCATGTCATTTTACCTCTCAAGTATCAGGAGAGGCAGGTTTATGTTCAGAGGACAGTGCAGGACAAGCAGTGCCTATCTGGAGAGCAAAGCCACCTTTTAGGCAGATGTATCTGGGGAGTTGTGTAAAAGGCCCTGGTTAAGCCTGGAGTTCAAATTGTTCTTTGGAGATATTTTAAGCAGTAGATGGAGGTTAGATGCGAATTCTCAGCCCCTCCTCACTAAGGCAGGCAGATTTACTGCATTTTGAATTTGTCTCCATCCCAAGACTCATGTGATTTCTATTCTCTCCTTCTCATTCTATCTGGTGTCAGAGAGGTTGATGAAATACTCATAGAAACACAGAATGGTTTGATTTGAAAGGGACTTTGAAGATCACCTAATTCCACCTCCCCTGCCATGAACAGGGACAACTTCCACTAGATCAGGTTTCTCAAAGGCCCATCCAGTCTGGCCTTGAACACTTTCAGTGATGAGGCATCCACAACTTCTTTGGGTAACCTCTTCCAGTGCCTCACCAACCTAACAGTAAAGAACTTTTCCCTAACATCTAATGTAAACTTGCCCTTTGTCAATTTGAAGCCATCCTGTCACTTGTCCTGTCACCGCATGCCCTTGTAAAAAGTTCATCTCCAGCTCTCTTCTACTTGTTACTTTATCGTTTATGCTGCCACGGAATAAAGCTCAAAGGGAACTTTGTGTTTGGAGTAGCTTGCCATCAACAGATGCCATACTGCTCCTTGGGGTATCTGGCACAAGGTGGGAAAAGCTCTTGCAGAGTGGAAAAGTGATTTTAAGGTGAACTGTTAGGAGTCAATTACTCAAGTAAATCTCTCTTATAGAAAGTGGGCGGAAAAAACCCAGTCTGCCCCTGGGTTTCTGGTTTTGTCACCTCTGTAGCTCTCAGAGAGGGAACAAGTTTTTGGTTTGACCAGCTTGGACTTTTCAGGCAACGGGTGAGCTGGACAATGTTTGGGAGCAGGGACTGAGGGAGAAGAGTGGCAGAGAACAATCCTGTGGGCTTTACACAGCACTCAGCAGGTAGTGACACTGTGCCTGTGACAGCAACGCTGCCCGTGCTTGGCACTTCCCTTTAAGTTTGAGGCACGTTTAATGGTGACCTTCTGCCACCCAGAGAAAGCAAAGTGATAGATCCGTCTGATCTGCCTTGGTTATTGTTGGTAATTGAATTTAGTTAGAGCAGCACTGCATCTCTGCTGCAAAGTTAAGCAACAGCTTCTGTTTTAATCCCATGGTACCCACATTCGTGTCTCAGCCGTCATTGTTCCCTTGTGAGTACCGGGTGTTCTTTGTCTGCAGTGGCTTTCTTGTCTCGCAGGTCTACTATTTTAATTCGCTTTCTAATTTCTGCCTCTCCCTTTCTTCTGTCTGTCTCTCCCTCCAAATCTGTGTTAGGTGATGTGTATGTGCAGAAGGGGCTGTTTCTAATGAGCTTCCAGGCAGGGAGAAGGCAAAATAGATCGCTTTTAAAATTGAAAGAGAAGGGTGGGGGTGGGAGTTTACACTGAGGGACACTGTATTTTTTAATAGATTCTTATTTAATTAAGAGCACTTCTGGAGGGATGAGGAATGGTGGTGTCTTTAGTAACACATTAGAGAACAGTAGAATAGTTGTTTAGATATTGCTCCCCCCCAAGCATTCTGGGATTTTTCTTTTTGAGGACTGCCTTTGTGCTTTTGCTTTACGTGCTATGGTTAATAAAGAAAAGAACACAACCATAAACCCATTGTGAAGTACCTGTGTTGTCTGAAATGCATTGAAATGAGCTCTTTTTGACGCACATGTGAAGCCTGATGCCTGTCTGATTAGGCACTAAAAATGGGGAGAAGGTTCCAGGCTTATACTGACATTGATTGGATGAGATAGACTCCCTTTAATAAAGAAAAAGTATTTTTAATTAAAAATTCAGAAATAGAAAAGAAGTATCATCTGAAATTAAGAAGAATTGTCACTATAATGGATGCAACCAAAATACCAGTTTGATACAAGTCTTTCAGTACATCTTTATCCAAAATATCCCATTCCCAAACAATTTCCAATCCATGTGATAGCAGAATGACTTCTCCCTCTAGCCTTTGCAAATGCAAGTAATTCTGAGCTATATTTGGAGCCAGCATATGCAAGCTCAGGGTAGTGGTAGGATCTTCAGAGAGTAGTAATGAGTTATAAAGAGCTGAACCACAGCTCTCACTACTCCTTGCAGGAAATGAGTGCCCCTACCAGTCTCTGTGGGCACTGCTCATGTGAGTGCTCCTTTGTCATAGAATCACAGAATGCTAAGGGGTTGGAATGGACCCTAAAGATCATCTAGTCCCAATGTCCTGAGCCATGGGCAGGGACACCTCCCACTAGACCAGGTTGCTCAAGGCCTTATCCAACCTGGCTTTGAATGCTGCCAGGGTAGGGGCATCCACAGCCTCCCTGGGCAACCTGTTCCAGTGTCTCACCACCCTCACAGTAAAGAATTTCTTCCATATATCTTACCTAAATCTCCCCTCTTTCAATTTGTACCTATTACTCCTTGTCCTATCACTACAGTTCCCGATGAAGAGTCCCTCTCCAGTTTCCCTGTAAACCCCCTTCAGATACTCTTTTTCTTCTTTGTCAGATGGACCCCATCAGCCCCCAGTAAACCAGGCTTGGCAAAATGAGTCCCATGGTCTGAGTAACCAAAACCCTGAGTATGGCACCATTGTTCTAACTGTTTGTTGACCTGCCAGATTTGACCGGCCATTTCAAGCCCCTCTCCTTTGACCTGGAGAACTGAGGACAAAACTACTTGAGCTCCAGAGCCCTTTGCCACCTCTCCCAGGGCTGTGTAATCTCTCTTAATGCTTCCCAGACTGCTGCCAGCTGTATCACCAGCTCCCCCATGGAACACTGTAGTGGATAATAAACAGTGGGTTTGACTAGGTTTGGCAGTTTCTCAGTAACATCCCTGATCCAGGCTCCAGGAAGGCAACACACCTCCCCTGAGCACAGGTCAGGGTGACAGATGAGTGCCTCTGTGCTTCTTAAGGTACAGTCAGCCACTTCTATCACCTGTTGCCTTTTCTTGGCTGAACTAGTTGTTAATTTCTTCATTTGTGCAGCAGGCTGGGCTGCTCCAGTTAGCTCTGCCTGTTCTTCCTGTGTATGGGGTGTTGCCTTGTTAGCCTGCAGAGCTATGAAATGGTTCTGAGTGGGGATATCCAGCTGGGCAGGAATGTCTGGCTTTGAAGGAAGCCCCTTCCTTTTGTTAGTTCCTTTCCTCTTCCTTTTGTTGCTTTTTTGGTGGTTTTTTTTTTGTTTATTTGTTTTATTTTGCTTTGGTTTTTTATCCCACCGCTTCCCAAGTCCCCGTGTTAATGCCTTCCCTCCCTTGCATGGATGCCAGGGTGTGAATTTTTGGGGCTGTGATTCCCCAACCACAGGAGCTTAGAACCAGCAGTCCAACTCCCTCTTGGCCTCCCTGGTATCTCTTAGTCTTTTGACTGTCTCCTGCAGCTCGACCCCCTGTTTCTGGAGATTGAGGGCACATCTGCTACAGTTCAGTGAACTACCCCTCTCACACTTCCTGATACTCCTTGGCCTCTCCGTTTCTTTCAGCTGGGCTTCCAGGTTGAGCAGGCTGTTCACACCTCAAACAGGTTTTGTCTCTGTTGCCCTGTGGCATCAGTGACAAGCTCAGGCACTCACTGCAGCCAGAGACCTGGACAGCTGCGTGTTGATGTGTGAGGGCCATCAGGGCCATCCTGAACTGCCATGCCACACCCTGTTTGCCCACATTTAAGTCTCCCTCCAATGCTCCTGGCAACATCCCCTTCTCACTTGTTTGGCTCCCAAGGGCTGCTGTGTCCTAATGGGCCTCTGGGCTGCTGATCAGGTGTCCCTGGGCTCAGGAACCCTCAATGCAGTCAAAAATCAGCTGGCTTCTGTCAACTTAGTTAAATGTCCAGTGTTTTCAGGACAAGTGATTTTAACTGAAAAAGCTCTTAAACAAGGGGTAGATTGTGGATGTGGTGGTGCCAGGGGGCATCCCAGCCAGCTGGTGCCTCTCTGAGCCTGGCTGGGCTGGGATGCAGTGTTTTCCAGCACTGAATGTTGAAGTTTGGGGTGGAGAGTGTGGCGTCACATCAGTTTGGAATCTAGGCACAGTGTTTAAATCTACTTCTTTTTGTCTGCCCTGTGTCCTCACTATCAGTTGTGATTTTGCTATCTGCACTATTTTGTTTTCTCTTGTTAAAAATAAGAACAAAATCTTCCCGCTCTCTGTTGCTGCTGTGTTAAATGTCAGTGTAAACCAAGAGAGCGTTTGAGAGCAGCACTGAGAATGCCTATTGCAAAGCACTGTCTGATCCCTTCCCACCCTAATGACACAAAACAGGCTGGTTACTTGTGATCTTGCCTCAGAACAGGATGGTTAAGCAGATGCAGTTCGTGTAAAATATATGGGAGTTTCTTATAATCACTTTAGGAAAACAGGAGTTTGTTGATTTTTGAAGCAATGTTATTAGCTACAGGTCCCATTGTATCCTAGCAATTTAGCTGTGTCAAAGATATGATTAAGCTGCAGCTATGGGACTCAAGCAAAACTGCCAGATCACATTAGTAATATAATTTGTGCCTGTACAGCAGCCATTTCCAGCTTTTTTTCTACACGAGGCTCTGCTGCAGATTTGGTTTTCATTCTTCACTCCTGTTCATTGAAGGGACACATGGGATTATAAATTGATTGTTAAAATTCCCATTAGTTGGAATTTAGGAATTAAGAAGTAATTTTGGCTCTTTGCATTAATGTTTGGATTATGGTTGATGGCAAGGCTGAGTTGGGGCCAGATATGTTCTGATTTCCTATGAGCCTCGGTTTTCAGGCCTTTGGCTTTGGCATATCTGTGCTCCATATAAGCCCCATGCATGAAAAGCTGACTTTTAAAGATGTGGTCTCCACTGAATGTATTTATATGTAGTTCAAGGGAAGGTATTTTCAGAATCGCATAAGGCAGGAAGGGCCTTCTTCCCTCTTTCTTTTTTTTTTTTTCTTTTCAGTGGAAATGAGGTCCTAACCACTCTGTATTTCCAGATCTCAAAAGAATCCTAGTCCTATCTGGGACCAAAATGTTCTGTCTAATATTTAAGTAGCTTTAAAATTTTTAGTATTTTTGTTAAAAAAATTTCTATGGATTCTAGCTTGTTTAAATACACTAGTCCAGATCCATTAAGCATGGCAGACGCTAGATTCAAGGACAAGATCAGTCCATTCAGATAATTTTTCTGGAACAACAATTTCTATTTAGCCATATCCGTTTAAGCTTCTCAGTTTTGTGCTTGCTGCCTTATCAAGAAGCTGGTTTTCTGCTCTGCATTCTTGATTGTGAAGAATTGTGTGATTTTTATTTAGCAGATTGAGAGATCTCATAAAGAAAAAATGTGAGCGGGCATTACTTAGCCCCATGTTTCTTTTCCTTCAGTCCCCCAAGTACTAAGTTCTGGTTTTAATTTCATTATTGAAATTACAGGACCTGTAAAGACCTGGCTGCATCCCAAAACAGCCCTTGAAAAATACCTCTAAAGTTGCAGCCATGCCAAGTAACCTGCTGCAAACAAAGGTCTCAAGGTATCAGCAACAGCAAACAGTAATTGGTCGTTTGCAAGGACAGCTTAGTATCTCTCCTTGACAGATCCCTTGGGGAATGCAGAGAGGGATATATGTGTGTTCTCTACTCTCTCTTAGCTGCATCCACTGCAGTGAGGTGAACAAAGCACCCAGTCAGACCTGTGAGTTGGGCAGCACTTCAGAGGAACTGAGCCTGGAACTGGCTTGGAATTTGACTGGTTCCACCTTAAAAATGACACATGTAGACAATGCTTGATGAACTGGCTGTTGTGACCACCTATGAAGATCCATGAAGCACAGGATTGCCCCAGTGTGTGCCACAGCTACTGTGGGGCCCCTGAATCTCATGGCAACTAGAGACCAGCCTGAGCAGGGCGATGTGTTTCAGGAATGCTGGCCTCCTCTAAAACATGCTTCAAAAAGCACTCCTGGCCACATAAGAAGAGAAATAGCTTCTCAGTTTCTTATTTTGATGGCTTTGGTGTTTATGTTTGTTGGGAATGAGAGATGGCTATGTGTTCTGACTGGGTGTACATCACTGCAGGTGACGTGCTACTCCATTTGAGATGAACCTCAGCAAAGGCTATAAATTTTAAACGTAGGAAGTTTTCATCTTCAGTTCAAAAGTGCAGTTATGCCAAAACTGCAGGCACCAGCTCACAAGGGTGCACATGAACACTTCTACTTTTTGTACAAATACGTGGTAAAATCACAGTTAAGATGTAAGATGGGAGCCTTGGAGATGCAAATACTGCTGTCTGAAGATTTCCATTTGATGTAATACTGCAAATTGCCAAGTCCTGTTTAGCCTGGGTAAGACTAAGCTGAAGAGGTGTGAGAGTTGTGCTAAAATCACAAATGGGTGCAAAAGCAAAGCTATAAAATGTAGGAATTGTAGGCAGTCAGTGCAAATGAGAGAAGCAGGGCAGGTAATGAAGCTGTGAAACTTCACCATAGGCTGCAAGAATGGGTGAAAGCCTAAACTGGATTAAAAGAGAAACTGGGAAAATTCTTGGAAAGGAGAACTCTGTCAAGCTATGATGATCTGAGTATCTTTTTGAGACCCAAGGGTCTGAGTCACTGGGTAGGGTGTACAAGGGGATGGCATCCTCTGTATTGCCTTGCTTCTTGCAGTCTTTAAGCACCCGTTTCCAGGCACTGTCAAAGAAAGGATACCATGCTAAGTGGATCTATGATCCAGTACAGTTGGGCAATTTTTGTAAAAAGCCTAAGAGAAAGCATTTGGAATAATTTTGTTGAATTCTTTTTTAAAAAAGTTGTTGAGGCAGTGTCTGATGAGAACACAGAAGCTTAATGTACTTCTGTCAGTCAGTATGCGGTTCAGAACAGCTCAGGTTTGGTATGAGCATTGTATTTATCTCTGATAGAAAGGATGCCCTGGATAATTTTCAAGTGCCACAGCCACTTGATCTTCTCACTCATGAGGACAGAGTGTTGCAGCAAGGCTTAGCTACACCACACTCTGTGTGTGTCTGTGTGTGCATGAGCCTACACACAGGGTTTGGTGGCTGCTGAGACCTAAACAGCTTGTACTGATCTGTATAAACTCTAACCCAAAGTGCTGTCCTCCTTTTATGGCTGTAAAAAATCTAAATGAATTGGCTTAGGCTTTTACTGGACAGTGCTCAGCTGAGCAGCACCCCCAGGTACAACATGCTACCTGACATTTCATTCCCTGACCACCATCAGCTCATGCCACCCCACTGCAAGCCTGACACTTAACCATGATGGTTAACATGTTTCAGGTCTGGAGCATCTGGAATAGCTTCCCCCACTGATGGGGAGGAGAGGGTTGGGCTGGGGCTGGGTCTGCTGAAGGCAAACTCAGCCTCTGCCTGGGCTGAGTGGAGGGAAGGGGAGAAGAATCAGCCTTCTGCTGCACATGCCCTCACTGGCTCAGCATATGCATGCTTTACCTGTTGGCACTTGTAGGGTCAATTAAGTAATTTTTTTGCTAATCCTTCTCAGCTTGTAGCCCCTCGCATTTAGCTTTGTAAAATGAACATTCTGGAGTCAGATTTCAATGCAAGCAGAAGCAGTCTCTATAGAAGCCCCAAACCATTACAGGACTCTGGTATAAGTTTAAATTAACTTCCTTTAGTTTCTTTCCATTACGCATCAAAAAGTTTCTAGACGTGAGTACCTGCAGAATCTGAAGAGAAAAAGCAATCTCATTTTCAGAAATACTGAAGTGATTTCTCTGCTTCTTTCTAATTCGTTTTTCAAATGAATAATTCCCATGGTGACCAGGAGAAATAAAAAGGCAGGAAGGGATTGAGTGCTAGTTGTGAAGTGGATCTACCCAAAGCTACCATGTATCAATTGTATTTTCAAAACTATCAATTGTAATTTCCAAGTCCCTCAGACCACATGAGTTATTTTTGATAGATTCTGCTTACCACGTTCTTTGACGTCTGAGAATGAGGACAGTCTGGCAGTAGCTTTTGGAAGAACATTTATTCTCATCAGTAAGATAAAGCTGTCAAAGGAACCCAGAGACATTCATGGAAATAAATAATGATTCAATATGCAAAACTAGTTTTCTAGTCTCAGAGAAAGGTAAGAGAAAGGCACATCTTTGAGAGCAGCATTTGAGCATCCAGATGAATGAGAGAAGGGAGAATTGGAGTGACAGGGTGAACTGAATATTCTGGAGGACTTAAATGATAATGATTATTTTGTTTCTGAAAAGTTTCCTCAAAATACCAATTTACTAAGGATATTCTCTGTGGCACTTATATATGCATCTTAGGTATCTGATACCTAATACTGTGGAGAAAACACTGATGTTTCTAATATTGTGTTTTTGGTGGTTACATGGAGTAGCCAAAAGAATGAGTAGACTCAGTCTGTTACAGGAAAGTGTTATTTTATCACATTTTTTTGAGAGTTGAATTGTTTAAAGGAATGCAATAACAAGTTAGTAGTAATTGCCTCAAAGGAGCCCTGAGATGGAACAGACAGGAAGAACAAGAGTAATTTAATGCATGGCATCAGCAAGTTGCATCAAAGTAGCTCCCTCTCTGGTGTGTTCTCAGAAGTTTGTGGCCAACAGGCTCACTGGGAAATCATTCCTCTTTGATTTAATGTCTTCTCACAAGGATAGGATTTACTTCCCTGTTTTTCGCCTTTTAATATACTTTAATTGAGCAGAGCGTGGTTGCTTGTTTGGTGTTTTGTTTGGGTTTTTTTTCCCCTTGAATGTGTGTGACACCGTATGTTGGAGTGCATTCCATGCTAGTAAAAAGCACCTGACTGACATCCTTCAAGCTGGCAACAAGCTCATGCTTGTTGTGGAAGTGCTTGTAAGCCCTAACCACATATCAGTATCAACTTTAGAGGCTGAAGGCATCCACACCTGGGCAGCACAGATATAGCAGAAGAAAGATACCCTCGTGCCTTCATTATTCACAACTGAACTAACTAATTGAATATCAGCAATGAAAGTGCCTGTTCCTCCATTCTCACCTTCCAGTGCTCTTCTATTTTGTTGTATTACAGGGCTAAAAGCAAGGAGAAATTCCCCGAGCTATGTAGGTCCTTAACCCAAAACTGGCATTGTGGTATAAGGATAAAGCAGTTTAAGCTCTTGGAGTTCATCCAGCCCAGCCACTGCTTAAAGCAGGGCCAGCTGCTTCAGGTTGCCGAGGGTTGTGCTCAGCTGGGCTTTGAGTA